CGAAACTATCAAAGTAGGGCAGTCTTCTAATCATACATCTGGCAGATGTATGTCATTGTTTTATCATGAAATAGTTGAATTCTAACTATTGTCCTCTTTCCGTTGCTCTTCACAAATAAAATAGCAAGCAAGATAAAGGGATCTCAGGACAAGGTCTGTTGCAAGCACTGAATGTCTAGATAGCGGCCTTTCCCCGTCTGCTGATTCCTCAGTAGTCATTTACAAGTGAAGTCCCTTTCAAAAACGTAGTGTGTGTTTTGTTTGTTTTTTTTTTTTTGTTAAAACCGTTTTTATATGTTTACTTTTCATCTGATTTGTGCATATCGACCTTTTACGTAATTCATAGATAATTTAGCCCCCAAAACTTTTTGCTACATACAAGGTTAATGTATAATTAAAAACTCTACCAGCCGTTTGGGCGAGGTGGGCGATCATGAGTCACAGATCGAGCCATCCGTGGCCAACATGGTGGAAACCCCATCTCTACTAAAAATACAAAAATTAGGTGGCATGGTGGCCACACGCCTGGTAGTCCCAGTCTACCTGGGAGGCTGGGCAAGGGAGGAATCGCTTGAATCCGTGGAGGTGAACGTGTAGTGAGCCGAGGTCACATGCCACTTGCACTCCAAGCTAGGGTGACAGAGCATGGGATCTCTCTCTTGTCTATATACCACCAAAACAAACGAAACAAATGTTGTCTAAAATTCAGCGAGCTAATCTCAAAAAACAACAAAAAAACAAAAAATCAGGTGGTAGATGTGGAAAGACTCTAGGATTTGTCCCTTGAAAAAGGACACACAAGAGTATTTCTGAGTATTTTCAGGCCAGAGCTATGGTGGCTCACGGCCTGTAATCCAGCACTTTGGCAGAGGTCGAGAAGGCGAATCACAAGGTCAGGATGTGTTACGAGACCCACGGGATGATAAATCACCCGTGTCTCTACCTAAAAAATAGTTCTGTCCCAGCATCCAGAGGGAGACTTGACTGAGAACTATTCAATTAGAATCTTTCTAGTGTGCTCTCAGAGGAACAGGAATGTGAGTGGGTGGGATACTGTGCTTGATTTTAAAAAATAAATCATCTGGACATAATACTTGCTTGAAAAGACAATAAACCAGGCCCATCTAATACCTAACTGGTGTAGGCTGGGGTAGCTCCTAGGAGTACCTGGCTGCCTGTAGAGGGCCTCACACACTGACAGATGGTGGGGTTTGGTCAGTGTTCTAAGAAATTAGCTCTCAGTCTTCACACGGAGCACCCCTCCTTTCCCCACCCACTATTTTTTCCTCCTGCCATCCTGAGCAGTACTCTGTAGCAGCTTTCAATCTATGCAAGAAAGTCTTTTCATGTCCAGCTGCATCATTGATGATGCTAGCGTTCCCCTATCTGCGCAATGGTGTAATTTATCTCTCCAGTGACATTACCATTCTAGTTCTGTTCTTTCTTCTAAAAGTACACCTTTTTTTCTTGTAGTTAAGAGGGGCTATCTTGTAATGAATGATTCTCTCTCTATTTATATGTATAAATAGACCAAATATGTATACATCTTTCTCAAAGTGAAGGAATGAACTTGAACACCCCTAGGAAGTCTTTTTCATTGTTTTGTGATATTATCAAACCCATTTTTCTACTGAGAGGCATAAAAGTCTTCTTGCTTAGAATAAATGTAGTCAATATCCTCAAGAAAGTATTTCCAAGTAGATCCATAAAGTTTGATACCTAATAGTTTTTCCCTAGTATATGGAATGTATGTGATCACATTTTAGAAGCCTTAGCATTTTACTTTTGGTCTTTTCAGGTGAAGATTATAGTATAGCTTCATCAGATGTGGTCTTGCTAGAAGGGGAAACCAGTAAAGCTGTGCCAATATATATCATTAATGATATCTATCCTGAACTGGAAGAATCTTTTCTTGTGCAACTGCTGAATGAAACAACGGGAGGAGCCAGACTAGGGGCTTTGACAGAGGCAGTCATTATTATTGAGGCCTCTGATGACCCCTATGGATTATTTGGTATGAAGACTAATTTGTGTCTCTCTTTGACTTGTCTGTATGCATAGATCATAGATAATGATCTTTTCTTTACTTTTAGAGACTCAGAATTGATCTGATCATGTTTTCTTTCTTAACTGCTGTTACTGACATATAAGACATCTGTGCACAGTCATTGGCAGTGGTTAGTGATTGTTTTAAAAAGAAATTAAATCAGTCTTTTAGCATATATGGAAAAGTCACAGACTATTGGCTTTAGAGTGTGACCTGGCTCCTATATGTGTTTTGTGAGTCTTAGGCAATTCTTTAGAGAAATAATTTAATTTATAGAAATTCACACAAAAATTTGGATTTCTGGGCTTTCTTGATAAATAGGAAATCTGGCAATATCAAGTTCCCTTTCCTGCATAACGTCAGTCATGGGAACTAAATAGTAATTGCCCCTCTGGAGCAGACTTGCACTGTGCAATCAGCTTCTGTGCTCACTGGACCTGTCACTCATGTCTGGTATAGAATTGAGCCCTATGGGTTTTGTGGTTTCTACTTCTATCACAGTGAAAACTAATTTGAAAATTTTGGCAGGGCAGACCAATTTGTATCACAGCGTGTTACTCTGGTTTTTGTGGGTTATAGCTACTTAGATTGCTTAGGGATAAAGAGAATCCACTATAGAATGGTGCTTGGTTAACTGTTATCTCTGTTTCACTTTGTATTTGAAGTGAACTCTGCTCTGTCTACCCTTCAGGTTTTCAGATTACTAACCTTATTGTAGAGGAACCTGAGTTTAACTCAGTGAAGGTAAACCTGCCAATAATTCGAAATTCTGGGACACTCGGCAATGTTACTGTTCAGTGGGTTGCCACTATTAATGGACAGCTTGCTACTGGCGACCTGCGAGTTGTCTCAGGTAATGTGACCTTTGCCCCTGGGGAAACCATTCAAACCTTGTTGTTAGAGGTCCTGGCTGACGACGTTCCGGAGATTGAAGAGGTGAGAGGAATGGCTAGTATAGAATGACACTGTAAATCGTACCTTATCTATAGTGACTAGAACAGATGGCCGTTGTGACATTTTGGAGAGGATGTCAAATAAATTATTCCTGCAAGAATGTTCAAACTATGCTAGTGTGAAAGTGATCCTTACAATTGACAAAAGCAGGAATATTCTAGAAATAGATTGTGTACATATGCCGGTTTACTACTATAAGACTTTTTTGTACAATTACATTGCATTGTTCAACATTTTGGTTAAAAGGTTAAATAACACACACACACACACACACACACACACATATATATATATATATATCTGTCATAATTTATAATACATTTGTTCTGTATAAACTCTTTTTTCTTTCTTTTTTTTTTTTTTGAGATGGAGTTTCGCACTTGTCACCCAGGCTGGAGGCAGTGGCACAATCTCGGCTCACTGCAACCTATGCTTCCCGGGTTTAAGGGATTCTCCTGCCTCAGCATTCCAAGTAGTTGGGATTACAGGAACACACCACCATGCCTGGCTAATTTTTGTATTTTTAGTAGAGATGGAGTTTCACTTTGTTGGCTAGGCTGGTCTTGAACTCCTGACCTCAGGTGATCCACCTGCCTCGGCCTCCCAAAGTGCTGGGATTGCAGGCATGAGCCAATGCACCTGGCCTGTTCTGTATAAACTCTTAACTTATTTTATACTCCCTTTTGGCTTGGGTGTGAGCCAGTCAATCTTAAGTATTACTGTGGTTTTTCATTCATTCATTCATTCATTCATTCATTCATTCATTCATTCACTTATTCTTCAACTATTGTTGAGAATTAACTATATGAAAAATACTGTGTGAAATATATCTTCCTGATATTTCCTTTTCATGATGAAGCAGGAAGGTACAGTATCAGTGGAAAAGTTAATCACTAACATATTGGCTGAAGATAATTTTATTATATGAAATTCAAGTATTATTAATATTTACATATCATAAAATTACTTTGGATAGCATTTATTCTTTAATAGCATAAAATTTTATAGAAGTTCATAAAATTTATTTTGAATGCTAATTGTGCCATTTTTCACTTCTAAAATACTAGATATTCATTAGCACATAAACATTTCTGTTTTTGTCTCTGTAAATTTAGGTGGCATTACAGTATGTTTTTGTTTTAAATTTTGTCAAATAGTTTTATTTAAGATAATGTGGGAAGTAAAGCATAGTGTATTAACTCTCCATTAAAATGTATATTTCAGATTTTTTAAAAAGGGTATAGGATGTAAAAGTCCTATTATTGAAATGGTAAACATAAACAGGGATATTAAAATTGAGTCACATGATTATATAACGATATTAAGGAGTTTAAACAGCCTGTATGTCCTATATATAACTAGGTTCTATTATTAAATGTTGATGATGGGTTATTCTGTTACATGCTGGGTTTGTAAGTGTAATTGGGGGAGTTTCTTTTAGTCCATTTATATTTCATTCCATTTTGTTCTTGTACTTGTATGTATATGTTTGATTTTTTTCCCTTGAATCATTTTTATTCTAATTTCAGAACTGTGATGCTGTTAAGGAAGTTTTCACTGTATTTTTAGGTTATCCAAGTGCAACTAACTGATGTCTCTGGTGGAGGTACTATTGGGTTAGATCGAATTGCAAATATTATTATTCCTGCCAATGATAATCCCTATGGTGCAGTAGCCTTTGTTCAGAAGGTTTATCGTGTTCAAGAGCCTCTGGAAAGAAGTTCCTGTGCTAACATAACTGTCAGGCGAAGGTATATGAGATAGCTACTTGCATCTGTGGGAGTGATGAGAGTTGTGGGGTGGTGGGGAAGGATCCCTTGCACAGCTAAATCATTTAGGTTTTGTGGGTTTTTTCCTATGCCATAAATTATTTTATAGGTTATTTTTATGTGTTAATTGAATTATGCTTATTAGTATAAAGGGCCTTTCATTTATCATACCAATTGTTAGTGAAATGGGTAATAAATTTTATATCACTGAGCTCTCTAACCCCAGAAATGCATTGCTTTAATCTGTAATTTGTTACAATTAGTACTTAAATATAACTGGCTTCTAAATTAAAGAACATTTGTATGATGTATGAAGGAGTTGATTTCCAGGTCTGTTTTTTCTCGCTTTTTTTTTTTTTTTTTTTTGGTGAGGCAGCATTGGGCTCACTGAGATCCTTCAGAAATAGAAAACAGGATCTTGGGAAATTGTGACAAGTACAGTCAGCCCTCTGGTATCCACAGGGGATTGATTGCAGGGTCCTTGGATATAACAAAATCCTTGGATGCTCCCCTTATATAAAGTGGTGTAAAATATAAAATTTGCATATAACTTATGCACAGCCACCCATATACTTTAAATCATCTCTAGATTACTTATAATACCTAATACAATGTGAATGCTATGTAAATAGTTGCTATACTGGACTGGTTTTTCAAGTTTGTGTTTTTAAAATTTTTTTTTCTGAATATTTTGATCTGAGGTCTTGAATCCACAGATGTAGAACCTGTGGATACAGAGGGCTGACTGTTACTACATTTACTCAAAATGTAGTCATGTTTATTATCATTGTTACTTTGTTTCAGTTAAGTATAGCAATAAAAATTAACTTTGTAATTTTGTTTTGAAATCCTGAATTTGCATACCTTGGAAAATATTTTCATAGCTTGATTAAAAATAAGTGTTGTTTGATTGAAAATTAGCAAGGTTTCCTTATAGGAGAAAACAAAATGTTGGGAGACAAGTGTAATTAAGAAACAGGGTTGTGTTTGTACTACGACTTTAAACATTTAAAAAAAAAATTGAAAACCACAATCAGCATTCCTCTTCTCTATGTGTAATTACTTTGAGTGCTTAACCTGTCTTTTAATTGTCACTCCACATTTTAGCGGAGGGCACTTTGGTCAGCTGTTGTTGTTCTACAGTACTTCCGACATTGATGTAGTGGCTCTGGCAATGGAGGAAGGTCAAGATTTACTGTCCTACTATGAATCACCAATTCAAGGGGTGCCTGACCCATTTTGGAGAACTTGGGTGAATGTCTCTGTCGGTGGGGAGCCCCAGTATACCTGTGCCACTTTGTGCCTTAAAGAACAAGCTTGCTCAGCGTTTTCATTTTTCAGTGCTTCTGAGGGTCCCCAGTGTGTCTGGATGACATCATGGATCAGCCCAGCTGTCAACAGTTCAGACTTTTGGACCTACAGGAAAAACATGACCAGGGTAGCATCTCTTTTTAGTGGTCAGGCTGTGGCTGGGAGTGACTATGAGCCTGTGACAAGGCAATGGGCCATAATGCAGGAAGGTGATGAATTCGCAAATCTCACAGTGTCTATTCTTCCTGATGATTTCCCAGAGATGGATGAGAGTTTTCTGATTTCTCTCCTTGAAGTTCACCTCATAAACATTTCAACCAGTTTGAAAAATCAGCCAACCATAGGCCAGCCAAATACTTCCACAGTTGTCATAGCACTGAATGGTGATGCCTTTGGAGTGTTTGTGATCTACAGTATTAGTCCCAATACTTCCGAAGATGGCTTATTTGTTGAAATTCAGGAGCAGCCCCAAACCTTGGTGGAGATGATGATACACAGGACAGGGGGCAGCTTAGGTCAAGTGGCAGTCGAATGGCGTGTTGTTGGTGGAACGGCTACTGAAGGTTTAGATTTTATAGGTGCTGGAGAGATTCTGACCTTTGCTGAAGGTGAGTGATGGTTCTAAATGAATTTCAGTTGCCACTGGTAAAGTCATCATAGTCCATTTTTATGATAAAATTTATAAGAATTCTTACTGTGTACATTCTTGTTAATATATAAAAATGTAGTTTGGCTTTAGAAAAAAATAGAAGTTAATTGGCTTGTTAATGGTTGGCATGACAATACATAGCCTGACATGACTGTACGTATATATCTTTTTAGTTTAAAAAACAGATTTTCTGGGAATATGTGTATTTTATCCCTTTATGTTTGATAGTAGTGTCTTTAACAAAGCACGGAGGAAACTACAAGGCAAGTTCTGATTTTGTAAGGGAACTTTTAATAATGACCCATGTACCTACAACCATGCATGTTGGTAAGAAGCAGTGGTAGCTAGGAAAATGAGTATTAATTGATAAACATTTTCATATGCACTAGACAAATCAGGAAATATCATCAGTGAAAATTATTTGTAAATAAAAGTAGCATAAACTTTGGTGACTGCATTTATATTACATTAATCCTAGTGATCAATTTATAATACTGTTCCTACACTTGCGATCACTACTGTGAATTTTCATAAACAATATAATGATATTTTACATGACCAGCTAATTAGAATTAGGATCAGATTGAGTGGTTCTTTTTCAGGACTGGTTGACTTCTGTGCTATTTAAAATTGGGAAAGTTAGTATGTTTAAAATAGTTTTCTTTGGGTGTGGGAAAGGTATCTTTACTGAGATTATTGATTAAATCCTCATTTGGGCAATTATATATTCCATAGAATTTTAAAAAACATAGTGCTTTTCTGATTGAAAAAGTAATGTATATTATAAAAACTTCAGAATATACAACAAAATGAAGGAAAGAAACTTTATTCATAATTCCGTATTTTAGAACAATCCATTGTATTTGTTTAACTTTTTAAGGCATATACTTTTTTTTTGGAAACTAATTAGAGGTCATGGTACACATATAATATGCTTTTTGAAACATATAATAATCATTATGTTTTAGAGTAAATTTTTAAAATTGTATAAAATATTTTTATTATGGTTATTTTCTAGTCAGTGATTTGAGGATTTAGTGGGATATGATATGCTTGACGGAAGATGGGAACAGGTTAGTAATTGGTAACTTTTCTATTTCAAAAGGAATAATGAAAATGTAACAAGGAGGGTGTGGGAATGAAAATATAAAGTTAGATTTTCCAGTGGTTTTGTTAACTACAAAGAAAGTTATATATAAATAAATAGCATTATATAAATTACTATTACCATGAATCGTAACCTTAGCATCACACAAAATGGACTCTATTTTATAGCTATTGCTAACTTAGATTCTTAGTGCAGACTGTCTTAAAGCAATCTTGACACTGCTGTATTGATGAAAATGCACCAGGGTCACAAAAGAGAGAACATGCATTTAATCTCCTTTCCCCTTTTTCCTGCCTTGTCTTTTCTCACTCTTTCATTCTCTCTCCAGAAAGTGGTGAGAAAATAAATAGGGGACACCTTAGACTGAACAACAGAAACAGCATTGGATTTAGGGACATTCTGTGGTGCCCTATCTACTAGATCAAATTGCAAAGTAGATTGCTTGGACTTTGTGGCTGTCACTTGTCCCTTTGAGTTCCTCTTTTGTTTTCTTCCTTCATTGCACTATTTCCTGGAAACTGGTACTTGATGCTGTTATCTCATCTAGTTACCCAAAGATGCATCTCATTCAGGCTGGTTTTTTTGCTCAGCATTTGACATCCCTTTTTAGTTCCTCATTTTGACCAGCATTCTGTAAGTGTTCCTGGTTTTTCAGGAGGGTACTGTGTTGAATATCTGATTAAAATTGTCACAGTAATGCCAGAATGAGAATGAGACCCCACTCTCCTAAAGGGAGTTGTTTCTAAACAGAAGATACCTTTGAAGCTCTTTTCCTAGCTAGGTGTCTGTTCTTGGCTAAAATCCAGGAAGTAAAGCCATGATTCTTTGAAACAATTCTACCTTTTGACTTTCCCATAATCGAAAATGTCCTTCTCCCCAATCTGTCTTCATTAACGAATTTTTGCAGTGTTTGGTGTGTGAAAAGATATGTATATATAATATATATGTATATATAATCATCAAAATTTGCTTATATTGCCCATGATATGGAGCTGTTATAATTCACTCATATTTTTAACTTTTAAAACTAAAAATTATTTTAGGCCTTTCTGAGTTCTCTATGTTGGTGATTTTGTTACTTTGGTTTTTATTCCATTGGTGTTTTTATAGGTGAAACCAAAAAGACAGTCATTTTAACCATCTTGGATGACTCTGAACCAGAGGATGACGAAAGCATCATAGTTAGTTTGGTGTACACTGAAGGCGGAAGCAGAATTTTGCCAAGCTCCGACACCGTTAGAGTGAACATTTTGGCCAATGACAATGTGGCAGGAATTGTTAGCTTTCAGACAGCTTCCAGATCTGTCATAGGTCATGAAGGTGGGTTCCTTTTTTTGTTAAGCATATTAATTTTATTTTCCATGGATGTCATTTTTTGTCTAGTTCTTTAAAACTTCTGATGTTTTTCCCTTTCATTATTTTGTTGAGCTGTGTGTGTGTTAATCTGCATAGAACTTCTTTGGGAGAAGGCTTTGTAATGAACTGTTTAGCCAGATTTAGGAGCCTTGCAAACCAATTCCATGTTCTAGCTTGCCATTCTCTACTGGTATGACTTTAAGGAAGTTAAACCTGGAATGCTTAGTTTTCCCATCTGTTAAATGATACAAAATATTACTTACTTCATAGGTTTCTTTGTGAGGATTAAGTGAGCTAATAAATGTAAAATGCTTAGCATAGTTCCTGGAAAGTATAGCGTATGCCCAAGGGTAGCCGTTGGTATCAAACAGTGAAACATTGGCAGCCAGTTAAAAACAAGTAATAGTTTGTAATCAGTGAATATTTTAGCCTGGATTTTATATTGTGTTTGTATATTTTATGAACAAAGTGCCAAGCTAGAAAACCTTATAAAATGTCTTTCTTCCTTAAAAAACAATAATTTTCTTGAATTCTTACTTAATGTTTTATATGACATGTAGGATTTTACACAGAGGGGCTAATTTTTGTGTGTTTAAAATATAACAGTGTTTTTGTCTGTTTAAGCCTGTTTTGAGGTAAAACAGGTATTTATAGCCTGTGTTTCATTACTTAGTTTATATCTGGAATTAAAAAAATAATTTTACCTTGAATAGTTAATAAATGAAAAGGATATAGATTAGGTACTTGGACATCTATTTATTAGATGAGAAAACAAATTGAGACACAGATTAAAAGACTTGACAATGTCAGACAGTTAGTGGCTGTGCTAGAAACAGAATGTATTTTACTGTATTACTTTTTCTTTTTCCCTTACTGCACTTCCAACTTGCAAGTTTATTTATCCATGCAAATGTTCGAGCCATTTTCAGTACTCTACTTTTATTAATGATTTGGAATTGCATGTTGTCATAACAGTAATGAGTAAAAGTGACTAACAAATTCCATAAATTTAACTTAAAGACAGATCAACTATCAAAAAGTTATTTGTAACATAATACAAAGTTACTGCAGGAATAGTTAATAATAATGACAACAGTAACACTTATGGAGTGTTTTCTGTGTGCCAGACACTCCACCTTCATTATTTCACTTAGGTTTAATAGCAGTCCTATGAAATAGGTATAATCGTATACACCAGATTTTCATTCAAGGAAACTGAATTTGAGAGAGACTAAATAGCAACAATTATTCAGTGGTAGTGCTTAGGCCCAGCTGTGTCAAATCCAAAGCCCATGCTCTATAGGGCACCTAGTGAGGAGAGAATTTATTTTGCTTGAACTTGTGTCTTCTCTGGAACCTGACAATGCGGGGACTTTTGGTAAATATTTGAAGTTATTTGAGTTGGAAGCAGAAAGAATTTGAGTAGCAATGCCTATGTGAGGGAAGGAAATTAGTGAGAAAACCTGACTCTGTCTCAGGTTAAAGGTGGACATTGGTTAAAGATGATAGCTCAAATCTGGAAAATGAATATGATGATTTTTGCGGACAGAGGATAAAAAGCAAATTATCGGAATGGAACCATGCAAAACATCAGACTAAGGTGCTGGGAAAGAAAAATTACCCGAGAGGAGAGAGAAGCCTTTGCTGGAGAGGCAGGGAAAAACCAGGGAGAGCGTGTGTTTTCAATCAGTTACACTGATTACTCAGTAATCGATGTGTCTCATGCTAATATGGCCAAAAAGGGGAGTTAGATCTCAAATGGGCCAAACAAGACAGTAGCAATGGTAGATGAATTTTAAAGGAGGACTGGGGATAGGAAGCAAATATCTAAGGATGACAAACGTAGAGGCCTTCGGCGGGTGCTCCTCAGTGTGGCTTTCAAGAGGCTGCCTGTTCAGTGTTTGCTTCTGGTCTGTGACAAGAGGATTGGAAACTTATAACAATTTCACTTTGCTGTGATATCCGAAAGCAGTGTCTATGGGCTGGTATTTGTTTTTTTGTTTGTTTGTTTTTTGTGTTTGTTTTTTTGCCGTTTAACTTATCTAGTCATTTATTTTATTGTGTTTTACAAGAGGGTCAGCCTCTGATGTATTGAGGCAAACAAAGCAAAAAGCCCTGTCCTTCACAGCATGAAGTTTTGAGAAGCACTGCTTATTGGCTGTGACAGCAAGGAGAGGAGAAACATTGGAGAAAACAGATGAAGGGGGAGCATTTTGGATTTGTTTTGTTTTGTTGAAGAAATATAGGAAGGAAAAGAAGAGAATCAAAGTGTTAGTGGTGTGGAAGGTACAAATAAGAGCTGAGATCAGGAAAGGATACATGAGATTTAAGGAGGGATTTAGAGCTAGACTAGGCATGTGCTTTTCAGCAATATGATGAAATTTCTTTTCTGAGGAATACAAAAGAATTTGGATGTCTAGGATCAATTTAAGGAGATTTTAACTGTAGGGCCATTAATTTTGTGAAAGTGCATTCTGTGAGCCTGGATGGTGGTGGTAGTGGTGAGTTGGAGGGCTCTGAAGACACTGAGGCCCTCCTTCTAGGTACCACAGCGTCTTGGAGAGACTGCAGACATGAACACCTACAGTCTCTTTGGCCCGGATGAACTTCGCCTGAAAACAATATTGTGGCCTCGTCAGTTTCCAACAGCTAATTATCTGCAGGAGAGGCAAACAGGAAGGATTAGTAATTAAAATAAATGGTCCAAAGGTGTTATGGTTAAAAATCTGCTTTAGCATTTGAATCTAAAACACCAAATTGCTTTTATTGCAGGTATGCGTGCTCCCTAGATTTTTTACATTTCCTACATAAAAGTTGGGGTCAATTTCTATTTTTTGCTTACTTTTTCTCTTCATTCCTAAGCCTTTTCCTGGAATATAAATTATTTTTTTCAAAAACATATTAAGCCACAATAGTTCTGTATTTTATGTATGCTTTATATTACCATGAAAATTGCACAGAGAAATGTGTATTTATCATGATGAGTTTATGAAAGTGAATTAATGAAAACATCATGGTGATTCTTCAGAGATAACCGCTAAACCAATGGGGTAAAAATAACCTTGCCATGTGAGCTTTTAACAGTGTTAACATTGCTTTTGGCCTAGTGTTGGAGTTTCATTTATGTGATTAGATTTAAAATGTGGACTATGCTGACTTCTGGCTCTAGAATGCATTTTTGATTCATGGGGAGGATTTGCCTTAGTCTCTAACAATGTATTGAATTCTGTAGAATCCTATTTCTACATTTTGTCCTAATGCAATTGGAGAGCTGCCCAGTGATAAATATTACTTTCTTTCAAATGTAATGGACAGAATTTAGAAATATAGGACAATGGATTTTACTGTGGTTGCACACTGGGTATAAATGGGCTCTTTATAAATCTGTGCTAGGTGTTTCAGTCACCCAGCTCAGCAGCATCATAATCATCCTGTCACATTCGATGGATTTTAAATTTTTTCTTCTCTTAGGGACAGCATGAATCTTTTTTACACAAAGATTTGAACAAGAAATGTGATTCTTTAAAGAAATATATAGAACTGCTATATTGGAAATATTCAACTTTTTCTTAACTCTTATTGACAATCTATGCTTCCCATTATTCATATTCCTATAATTGTTTTAACCCATTTTCTTTTTTATTATAGAGGGCAATTTGGATAGTATACGTATGTCATGTATACATGTATCTATTAAAATATATTTTCTGTATTTTGGTTTTCCATTATTTTTATGTACATTGTAGTTGGTGTTTATCTTTGTAAAAAGAATTCAGGCCTTGAAAATAAGTGCATAAAACACTTAGGATTATTAAAATACATTCTTCATTCATATTGTTTATCTGCATTAAGTTAGTCCTAGACACTATATGACAGATCTGCTTTAGAGTTGAAATGTGTCACTAACTTTTGGTAAACTGTGGATTTCATATCAAGATGATCTTCTGGTTTTGTAGTCAGACACTTGGTTAGATAAGGGCTCTTCTGGCTTTCATCTTGAGTGAAAACTAGAAAGCTGTTTGCTATTTAGTACCTAGTAAAGTCTTTTGTCATCTAAAAATTATATTCTCTCTTAAGACATTTCTTCTGTCTTTTCCCTTAAATTTGGAAGACTAAGTACTTATTTTTAAGTTTTTCTTTTTCCTGTGACTGTTTGACTTTTCACCCTGGCAGAAGGTATCTTTCTGAAATGTCCAGTCATTTTTTCCAGGAGGCATTTTAAATGGACCTGGCTCCTGGAAGTCTGCAATAAAGAGACAGAATCAATACCTCCCTTTTGATTATTGCTTAGAAAAAATTTCACACTATTCTTGCTGTTGACATGATACATTTTCACTAGGCTTACAAGATTATGTGTTTAAGAAATACTTCATTTATCTTTTATTTATATGTGCTTCTCTATGTGTGTGTGGGTGCACATGTGTTTGTGTGTATGTGTGTTTGTGTGTGTGTGTGTTTGTGTGTGTCATGCTTCAAATTATATTTTTGCAGTATTTTCTTGCAGATTACTTTCATGGTAACTTTTTAACTTTTCAGAGGGAATATTGATGAAGTAATATTAGACTTTGAGTGTTTTTACATGTAGTAAGTTTGTCTGAACATTTTACTTTCTTTTCTCCTAAGCATTTTATTTTTACTTTTACCTAAAAGTGATGTATTTATTCCCAAATCTCTATGTGTAAACTTGCAACTGCAGTTTTGTTATTGTGATTATAGGTTACCCTTCAACATGGAAATTTTTTGACCTACATTTTTTTTCTTGCCATTCGTGTTCTCTTTGCACTTTAGTACTTCATTAAACTTCCATAATTTTCCTTTTGAACCATTAACAAGTTTTGTGATTTGAAAAGTTTGAAAACCACAACTCTTACGAAAGAGTCACCAGACAACACTGTAGGTGAAATAATTTAATAATTTCAAGGATTTTTCTATGCTCTTTGGGAATAAATTTTTGTTTTTCAGTGTTCCAAACTTGCTCCATAAGAAATTTTATATATTGTACAATAGACACCAGAGTTTCATAGTAGTGTCTATATTTTGTTCACAAGTTTTACAAATACAAAATTTTTAAATGATATGTTAGCAATGGCTGACTATACACAGTCTTTCAGTTTCATCCCAATCTTTGGACAATGTGATCTAGAAATTCCTGTGTTTTTAAAAGATCAGTCTAAGACATAGTCTACTAATGTAATGGCAAGTAAGGTTTTTTGTATTGACACACTTAAAATGTGTTTTAAAAGGTCTTTCTAATGCTTTTATTTATATTATCCACTCTCCTTAAAGTGTTCATTTTGTTAAAATTGTGTTTAAATTTAGTAAGAAAAATTTATTTTATTTTTAAATTGAAATTAAGATAGTTTCTAAATTAATTAATTCATGATATTTTAAGAAACCTTCCTATTAGAAATATTTGTTTAGTTGTCCTCAGAAATAAAAAACATGGCAGTTTAAAAAATACTTGAAAGCGGTATTTAAATTTTATTGCTTTATTTCTACTCTTTAAAAAGTGTTTGAAGATATTACTTATATACACAAAAGTTACTTGGATAACTAAACTAAACTAACTAAAAGTGACATTTTTAGTGAATGTGATTTTTAACTATATGTCTATGCTATACAATTTGATTAAGGATGTTGTCTTCTCAATCTTTTAAAACATCATTCTATCTTTGCATAATAATAATTTTTTTAGTGATATAGTTCATTGGTATTTCTTAACTGTGTTCATCATCCTATAAATCTAATGAATTGAGCATATTTTCAACAAGTCATATGGCCATTAGCACACTCCCTAACAGCTTACTTTATGCTTTTAGCAATTTGAAAGACATGTTATGATTTTCTTCACTTTTGTAAAGTATTATATGGGGATAAAAGCCAGGAATAGAAAAGATCTAAAATATCTCCATCATCCAGGAATGATAACTGTAACTTTGGCGAAGTTACAGATGTTGATGTACAGATTTGACACCTTTCCTTTGTATTTCTTTTTATAAAACAAAATCATTGATGGTAATATGTAAGTTACAACTATAGAAATGTGATTTTCAGGTATTTGCAAGCATTTTTATGCGTGCATTGTGTAAAATCACATTGCATATCAGTGTAAGGAATTTGTGCCCTTTTGAAAAGTGAAGGAAGAATTTACTTGTGTTATTACCATGAGGACTTTATTATTTTCTTTAATTTACAGAACACTTATGTTCTGGTGCATGTTTTGGAGTGTATAAAAGTTTGTGTTTCCCATTTTAGCATGTGCTTTTGTAACTTTTACATGTTGAGTTTCCTGAAGTTCTACTAAATGGAAGTATTTAGAAGTGGGATAATAAACAGTAAGCATGTGTAAAACTTCTAGAAAATTCAAAACAGAACAGCTTTGTAATGTTCTTGGGAAAGGTGCTGTAATAGTTGCATGCTTGGGGTTTGGGTTTTGTTGAGTTCAAATGTGAAGTTTATTTTCCATTAAGCATTTATCAATTTACACATTTTACTTGCAGGAGAAATTTTGCAATTCCATGTAATAAGAACTTCCCCTGGTCGAGGAAATGTTACTGTTAACTGGAAAATTATTGGGCAAAATCTAGAACTCAATTTTGCTAACTTTAGCGGACAACTCTTCTTTCCTGAGGTAATACTGCAAAGAAAAGTCAACCACAAATATCTAGAAAAAATGGTGTATTTTGAGGAAAATGGGATAGAAAAGCAGCACTATTGTATTTATTATCTTTCTCTCTTCTCCAGACCTACGTGCTATGAAGTCTTTGACGATGTATTTAATTTTTTTTATCTTCCTTCCCATTGCCTCAATATTAAGCCAAGCCGATATTACTTTCTCCTTGAGTAGTATATTGAACTTTTAATGACTAGTGTCCCTGCAGCACTTGTCTTCTTTTCTCTGCTCCAGTTTTTTCTATTCACCATTGTTGTAGAAACCTCCCCAACTTTATGCTTTGAGATTTCTGGTAGTGCCACATTGCTCAATGAATAAGATTTACATTCATTAGCTCAGCATTCAAGATCTTCCACAATTAGCCCCTGTCTGCTTGGAGCTTACATTCCCATGAGTCAGTGGCTTTTATTTATTTATTTTTAAGCCACAGAACTTTTGTTTAAATGAAAATATGTTTGGCTGCATTATTTATAATAAAAATGAAGCAGGAGATAACTCATTCGATAACGATAGAGGGATTGATTTCTTTCTGTATGACATAGGGGTCGTTGAATACAACATTGTTTGTGCATTTGTTGGATGACAACATTCCTGAGGAGAAAGAAGTATACCAAGTCATTCTGTATGATGTCAGGACACAAGGTAATTCAGAATTTAATTTTAATTTTTTTGATATATTTTTTTCGTAAAAGAAAGAAAATTGTTGTTATCTCTGTATTTAACAATTAGATGCATACCAATTTTTAAAATGTTACTTTATTATGTGTCCCCTAGAAATGTTAGATCCAAAAAACATTAGCATCATATGGGAATACTTATCTTTATGGACTAGAGAAAAAAGCCCTGAAACGTTTTGCTAAATGGTTACTTACAGAATAAAAATCATTTCCAAAGGTAGAATTTTTTTGAAATTAATTTGAGACTTACTGGCCAATTTGAATTTTGGACCAATTATATGGATAATTCAAATTTAGTCTTCCTTTTTTTTTTTTTTTTTGTGACAGGGTCTCGCTCTGTCGCCAGGCTGGAGTGCAGTGGCACTATCTCGGTTCACTGCAGTCTCTGCCTCCTGAGTTCAAGCGATTCTCCTGCCTCAGTCTCCCAAGTAGCTGGGACTACAGGCGTGCACCACCACGTCCAGCTAATTTTTGTATTTTAGTAGACAGGGTTTCACCATGTTGGCCAGGATGGTCTCAATCTCTTGATCTTGTGATCCGCCTGCCTCAGCCTCCCAAAGTGCTGGGATTACTGAGCCACCACACCCGGCCCAAATTGAGTCATTTTTAAGCAAATTATCTGGGTACCTTCCTCAATTTCTACTCAGTTTCTATATTCTGATAACCAATATCAGATATAATAATGACAGTAATATGTGAAGTGAAGAAATTCATGATCTTCCACCTGAAAGAAAAATGGAATGTGGTTTTTGTTAACCTGAAGATTTGTTAGAGAAGTAAATAGAACACTTTTGATTACCTTCATGTTTCAGAGAGTGAGGTTATATTTCCAATGATTAAAAGCTAATGCCAAATCACTGGTAGATTCCTCCCTGACATTTTTAGGAGTTCCACCAGCAGGAATCGCCCTGCTTGATGCTCAAGGATATGCAGCTGTCCTCACAGTAGAAGCCAGTGATGAACCACATGGAGTTTTAAATTTTGCTCTTCCATCAAGATTTGTGTTACTACAAGAGGCTAACATAACAATTCAGCTTTTCATCAACAGAGAATTTGGATCTCTAGGTTTGTGTTACTCTAGAATGAATGGGTTTTCCAGTCAGGTGCTTATTAATATTCTACTTGTGTGGTTGAAAGCCATTGCTAAAATAAATCAGGGATAAGAGAAAATTAATATTTTTTTTTCATTCAGGACAGAACTTTATAACTTCCTTATTTTTGAAAAAATTAAAGGAATTTTCTGTTTTCACAGAAATGCTGTGTAATTAACAAACAACACTTCAGCAGCATACAGTAATTTAGGCTGTCTGTGGGTCTACTAATCTATGCTGGACTTGGTCATGGGTGGCTGTATTTCATATGTCTGTCATTCTTCTCATGGAACCAGTGGTAGCACAAAAGACCAAGTGAAAATGTGTAAGGACCCCTGAGGTCTAGGGTTAGAACCAGCACATCATCATTTTTACCTTGTCCTATTAGCCAAAACAAGTCACATATCCAAATGCAAAGTCTAGAGGCAGGGAAATATGCTTTTCCCACAGTGAGACACCTGTGAGCCATCACATGGTAAAGATTATGGATATAGGAAGGGGTGAGGAATTGGGAACAGTAATACTAGCTACTGAAGGTACTTTTAGGAAAGGCAAAAAATCCACAATGGGACATTATTGTAAACGTTTAGGGAATTATAAAACATTTTGCCAACCTATTCAATTAGGAGTTATCAATGTCACATATACCACGGTTCCTGGAATGCTGAGTCTGAAGAACCAAACAGTAGGAAACCTAGCAGAGCCAGAAGTTGATTTTGTCCCCGTCATTGGCTTTCTGATTTTAGAAGAAGGGGAAACAGCAGCAGCCATCAACATTACCATTCTTGAGGTAAAACTCCTATTTTTTTCCTTACTATTGTATTAAACCTAAAGTAACTACGTAGAAGGTAGAAACTGATGGAAGAGTCTATAACATGTAAGTAGTAACATTTAGTAAGACACTTCTAGTAACTTTGCATTTTAAGACATCAAGTTTCGTGAAAACTAAGTCTACCTGAGTTTTTTCTATTTGTAAAAAAAAAAAAAAAAAATACTCTGACTTTAATATCAGGTTTGGATACTCTACAATTATAATACTAAAAACTTAGTGAATTCTTTTCTGCTTGGTTCCCCTTGCTGGTACCTTTAAATCATCTTATTTCTTTTCTTCATTTTGTTGTTATTGTTTGGTTTTTTTTAATCGTACAGGGGTTTCTGTTCTTGTTTAGATCGACTGGCCTGCTGTTATGTATTTTATTATAGACATACCCATGATAAAGAATTTTCTTAGGGTAGTCCCCTTTAAGATGTCATAGAACTATGAGGTTTCAAGGAGTATTTTGATTACTCCATAGGATTCTTTGGACCAGAAAATCCATGTATGTCAGAATCTTTGTTGGTAGTAGGACCGTTTAAATTAGAGATAGGGAGAGACTCACTAGAGGCCGGTGGCACAATATGGAATTATGATTACGTTAAACTTAGCGTAATCATTAGTGATTGAAATTGTATTTTAAATAATTTTTCACATTGTGGAATCTCATGTTGTTTTGGGACTTAGTGTATCAGTTACCTAAATACATTTCCAAGAGGTTTATAAAAATGGTACTCATGGAGGGGGTAGGAGATAGTGTGTAGGACAGGGGAAGGGAAAAATGGAGAAAGCATGAATATTGCAGTTGAAAAAATATTTTTCAATTCCTATGTATTTTGGGAGTTCTATTTTAAAATATATTTTATTATCTTGGAGGCCTGTTCTTTTACAAAATTATAAGTGGTATAAACCATCTACCTTCTGAAGTCAGTAACTTACTTTGTTGATTACTGTGGCACCGTGACCTAATATAACAGTATAAAAATTCCAAAGCTGTAAAATTAAAGGTAATATAATGTCAGTATATGGGATATAACACGAGATTTGATAAAGCTTTCAATTAAGTTATCTTTCAAATGTATACTTTATTAATAACAATATCAATAAATGGATTGATTATTCCTTAGATATGTTTGGTTTTAAAGCAGAGAATACAGTTGCCCTTCTTTTCTCTGAGGAGTCTAGGTTTTTTTGAACATGGGGTTTTTGGTTCCACCTTTATTTCATCCTAGCTCTTTGCAACCATTTTTGCTCCCTCAGTGGCACTAGATTAAGAGACTGCAGGGCTATGTATATAGGAACAAACTGCCCTGGGGAGTGGTAGGGAGGAGTTATTGCATGGTGGGTGGGGGACAGTAAGAGTAGGCACAGCAGTCCTTCTGTGTCACTGACCTTATAACTCATATTGGCCCATATATTGCATAAGACAATCTAGAGACCATGATTTTCACGTATTTGTTCACATGGAAACATGACTCCATTAAATAAAGTGAGGAGAAAAGCATATGTTAGTGAGTGTGTGCTGACATTATATACGCATAAATATACACACACATTGTGTTTCTTTGTAAATATTGATTTCTGGCTGATCATTCTTGACATGGATTTTGCTAATCCTTATGTTTGTAGTACCTGCCTTGTTTTCATTGCTGTTATATGGACTAGTGATTGATAATAATAGCTATTAATTTGAAAGCATTTTCTCTAGGCCACTCTACACACATGATTTGTAATCATTATTACAGTCTCCCACCCAAAGGACCTATTATTGCCCCAGTATAGAGATAGTGGAATTGGAGTCCTAAAATTTAAGTAACTTACTTAAAATTACAGAATTTGGTACTAGGCCTCCTTGAACTGCAAAGCCCTTTTTTTTTTTTTCGTAGTATTCTATTCCTCCTTCTACACTTTGGATATTATGGTAATTTAAAGTGTTTTGTTCATATTATGCTTAAAATAATTAGGCTTATATATTTATAAAATTGGTTTACATATTATGTAAATCTACGTTAAAAATGTTAAAATATTTAAGTGGTTTCATATGTGTCAACCTAATTACTTCCTATACACCCAAGTATAAGTTTAATACTTTTATGTTTATTTTTTCTAATTTAGATGTCTACTTTATGGTTGCATTTTTGTATCTTCTGTATGCTAATTACACAGTTTAACTTAAAAATGGTTTCTGAGGGTTACTTTGAGAGTATAATTAAAGGAATTTAATGGTATGATTTTTTTCAGGATGATATACCAGAGCTAGAAGAGTATTTCCTGGTGAATTTAACTTATGTTGAACTTATCATGGCTGCTTCAACTTCATTTCCTCCCAGACTAGGTATAAGGGGTTTCTTGTTTGTTTCTTTTTACTCACTTTAAATGAAATGAAGAAACTTTGTTTTTGAATCAGAAGTGATCATTGTGCTGTTTTGTTAATCTTGGCTATGTGTCAAAATATGATGGAATTTTATATTTATTTTTGATACTCTCATATATTGCAATGTTTACATTGAACAATGTAAAGACATTAAAAATTATTGTGTGATGTTCTTTAAATTTTACAACTATTTTATAAACAAATTTGTAATCCTCAAAATAGTTCTTTGGAGGGTACTTTTCTTTCATTATCTTTTAAAATTAGCTGTTTTCATTAGATCTCCAAACTCTCAGATGTTTTTCTTTTCTTTCAGGTTAAGCAGTGCTGTTGTTTGCTTCTTTGTTGCTTTGTTGTGTTCTCTGCTTCTCTTTTGACCTTTTTTCTTTTTCTTTTCATGCTTTTAGAAAAGAATCAGTTAATTCATTACAGACTGAAAGGTAAAACCTGAACCTTAGTACAAACTTATCTAGATTCCTTTGAAAAGATGTATTCCTGTTTAAACACAAACTCCTGTTTTCAGTGTGGACATTTACTACTGTGAAATTTTGTCTGAAGCCTGTAGGTGTGATGGCCCAATAGAGGGTGGTGCTGAACTGGTTAGAAGCAGTGCTGGACAGGGGAAAGTTAACTTGGGTTAAAGGAAGAGAAGCATGGCCAGGAGCAGTGGCCTGGGGAACAGACATTCCTTATTCATTTCTGAAACTCATTGTGATAACTTTGAAAATATTGAAAGGAAATAATCAGTTTCTAACCTATTGTTTGAATAGTTTCAGTTCTTTTGCTAAAGAAATAGATGATTCTAATAACTAGGCTGTTTACATCAGATATTATTACAAGATAATTATTATTCACACTAAGACAACTAACAAAACAATTCAGATTTCTTTCATCCTCTTACTGAGATAATTTGAATAGTTGACTTCTGTTGAGTGATTTCTAATGCTATTTCAAGTGCTTTGTACGTTGGTAATGTCATTACTTACATCTTCTCATTTTACAGATGAGGTAGCTTAGGCTAAGAGAAGCTGAGTAACATGCCCCAAATCACACAACTATGGAGTGGTAGAGCTGTCTTCAATGGTGTGGCCTGATTTTAGAATCTCTGCTTTTTAGCCTCTTGTCTGGTGGACACAAACCCTGATTTTATATGCTTTCCTGGACAGTGTTGTTCTTTTCCCTCTACAGAGAATTACACTCTCCCTACCCTTTCCCCATCCAGGCAGCTATCATAAGTGTCCTAGACTAAGGTGGTACTTCTGAAATTTAAAAGGTAAAGAACAAAATATTAAAAACAAAAATCAAAACCAAAAAACCAATCAGGAGCAGGATTCGTTAATATTTTAAGACTAGCCCAGGAGCAGGGTTAGTAATATTTTAAGACTGAAACCAAAAAGCCAGCCAGGAGCAGGGTTAGTTAATATTTTAGGGTATTGGTAACATACTAAGTAAGTTTGGTGGACAGAATAAAAATAAAAAGGGAAAGATAAGTTTACTTTGATATTAATCTCTCTTGAGTTCACCAAACCTTTTCCCCATCTTTCCCACATGTCTCAGCTTCTGTTTTTGTCCCTGTCTCTCCGTGTCTCTTTTGCATGCCTGTATGTTTCTCTGTACCATTCCTTGTGCTTCTCTTCTCATTTCTCTTTTTTTTTTTTTTTTGGCTCTTTCTGCTCCTTCCAACTGTCCCCATTTTCCTTTCCTCCTGAAACAGTGATATTATAGAATAGAGATGCCAAATATGTTTTAACTAATTAATATAATAGAAACAAAACAGTAATCTCAGTTGTTAATTATTTTATATTGTTCTCAGTTGATTAAATTTCTATAAATCGGTGGCTTTTGTTAGCCAAAAGTGTCTTTATTCAGATGTGATAAACATTGTCTCTTTATTTTCTTAAATATCTTTTGAGTAATTTTGATAATACCTGTATATTAGGAGTTATATTATTTCAAAGGGACTGTCTTTAAATCCTATATCAAAAAGTACTTTTAATCATTTTTATGTATTTTAAGATATGCTTCTATTTTTTTAGATTCAGAAGGTTTGACTGCACAAATTATCATCGATGCCAATGATGGGGCCCGAGGTGTAATTGAATGGCAACATAGCAGGTAAGGCCAAGGCTGCGTGAGAGTCCTCTTCTGGGTTTTGTATTCTTTACTGTTTACCAAATAAAAGTTTATAAGGGAAAAAGTAATGTTTTTTTAAAACTATATTATAGGTTTGAAGTAAATGAAACCCATGGAAGTTTAACATTGGTAGCCCAGAGGAGCAGAGAAGCTCTTGGCCATGTTTCCTTATTTGTGTATGCTCAGAATTTGGAAGCACAACTGGGGCTGGATTATATCTTCACCCCAATGGTGGGTCTCAAAATCTATCACAGATGACTTTTACAAATTATTTTATAATCATTATTCCTTAAGAATTACAGTGATTTAGGTCCCATATAAATAATTTATTCTTAATAAGCCATTACATATTTCAAAGTAAATTAGGACAGAAGATTTCCACATGGTAAAATAGTTCCCTTCACTATTTTACTATTCTAAATATTATTCTGTATGCATTAACTATTTCATTACAGTATTTGATACTGGAGAACACAACCTGTAGTATTAAAGAATTTATATCATTTGATAGTCTTTCCAGAATGTTTCTCATACTTCTCGAAAATTCTAGCTCTTATTTCTTTGTTTTTGCTCACTGAAACACCTTTAGTGTTTTAAAATACTTTTATTTGATCCCTTCACGCCTTTTATTTCTTAGCCAAATGTTTACTTTCTTCTCTTCCCTCATAATTTTTTTGGAGACAGAGTCTCGCTCTGTCACTCAGGTTGGAGTGCAGTGGTACGATCTCGGCTCACTGCAACCTCTACCTCCCAGGTTCAAGCAATTCTTCTACATCAGGCTCCTGAGTAGCTGGGATTACAGGTGGCCACCACCATGCCTGGCTAATTTCTTTTTTTTTTTTTTTTTTTTTTTTTTTATTGATTGACTTTAGTGTACTTCACCTTGTTGGCCAGGCTGGTCTCAAATTCCTGGCCTCAAGTGATCAGCCCCCTTTGGCCTCCCAAAGTGCTGGGATTACAGGCATGAGCCACTGCGCCCAGCCCCCTCATAATTTTTACATTTTAGACTTAATGTTGACAGTTTAAATAAAAAGATATAAACCAAAAAATAAAGAAACAAAGTTCAATGTAAAATAGCTTATTCTTTACATTTGCAACTATATTGTATTTCTTTCCAAACATTCTATAGAAACTCAGTGTATATAAATATAATACTGTCTGCTTTTACCTTTTTGACCAGATTCTTCATTTTGCTGATGGAGAAAGGTATAAAAATGTCAATATCATGATTCTTGATGATGACATTCCAGAAGGAGATGAAAAATTTCAGCTGATTTTAACAAATCCTTCTCCTGGACTAGAGCTAGGGAAAAATACAATAGGTAATTAATAATTTCTTATAAACAGCTTCCTTTCCTTCATGCTGGGTTCCTTAATATGGGGGAAGATGTAAAGGGATTAAAAAGTCTTGGTGGTTTTCTATGCTTACAATGAGAGTGATTTTAAGTTAGAGAATTTCAGAATTTCTGTGTCTCTATAACAGTGCCTCTAGCTTGTATGTGTTGGTGTATATAGGCGTGTATGTGAAAGACAAAAAAAGTAAGTTGATACTAGCGATAATATTATTTCCTCAGTTATTGTAGGGTTATTTAGTTTGTAGATGTCTTTCCTTTGGAATTTCAATTTTGCTCTGGTTTCCTACTTAGCAATAGAAGGAATTACAAAGGTAATTCCTTTAGTGTCATCTACTCTGTAGTATTTCCGCATAGTGTTGAGGTATACTGATACTTCAGACAGATTATGGGAGCCATAATTCTTTGGTTGAAACAGTTAGGCATTGTTGCTAAGAGTCATTCTGCTCCATTGCTTGATAGGTATTGTGCTGACTGTTTAGAGAAGGTAAGAAAGAGACAAAGGAGAAAACTCGGGAACATACAGAACTTTAAGGTTGGAAGAGCTCTTAAAAAGTCACTTCCATTCCTTCTGATGATAGACAAGCCAGGTGAATTTCAAGGATTGAATGCTGACTGACCCTTCAAACTTCTGTTTTAGTCAGTGGCTGAGCAGGTTTTTTTTTTTTTTTTTTTTTTTTTTTTTTTTTTTAGTTAATTTGATGAATATTTGCATTCCTAAATTATTGGCCTTTATGGAGATATTTGATTTGTAGTAGAAAATATGAAAGAATTCTGAGTAGCCCCAGGATTGGTTTTTACTTTTCTTGCTATATTGATAAAATACATTGATATTTCTAAATCCCCAGAAGCCTTTTTATTTATTTTTATTTTTATTTTTTATTTTTTGAGGCTGTGGCTGTTTTTCAAATTCAGAGTATACATTTGAGATCAAATCATTTTCTTGTAAAACATAATGGGTTGGTAAATGGTTGTATGAATGGATACCATGTGTTGGTTGAGAATAGTCTAGGTACGAATAACAGAAAACTCAATGCAAATGGATTTAAACACATATAATTTATTGGTTTATTTAACCTGAGGGTACAGAGACATATGGCTTTAGATGACACAGGAGCAGGACTTAATGCTGCCAAAGATCCTGAGGTTTTCTGTCTCTTTTCTTTGCCTTTTGGAATATTGGCTTCATTGCAAGGCTAACATCATTCATTGTTATGAGATGGTGATCAGGATCATTCTTCTGCATTTCATATAACGGGAGAGAGTATTCACATTCATGCATTCTTACAAGGTCCTCATATAAATCTGATTGAAATTACGTCGATTACATGCCCACTTCCATGAGTAGGAGAAATGAATATATTATTGGGTGCTGCCAAGGTTACTTTATATTTGTAATTTTCTATTTTTAAAGATTAAAAAATTCCTCAGAGCAATAAGTGCTTTGACAGTGAGTCGTTTCTTAAACCATGCCCCATTGATTGACCTTGAAACTATTTCCAGATCCTTATAAAGTTCCAATAAATATCCTTTTACATAAATCTTTGTATATGTGGATAATTAAGATCATCTGTTGAGTACAATGCATGTTGAGTGGAAAGGACTAATCCACTGCCTTCTGTGTTAGTTACACTCCAACTGTGTACATACACAATAGTTTCTCCATATCCTTCCCAGCAATTTCTTTAATCTTTAAATTTTCATATGCCATTTCTAATGACTGAAAAATATGTGGTTGTATTATGCATTATTGTGATTTTTTCTTTCATTATCCTGTTTGTTAGTAAGCTTGACACGGGTTTGGTTTTTTCTTTGTGATTCTGTTTTTTGTATCCCTTATATACTTTCCTGTGGTTTTTGCTTTATTGGTTTGTAGGAATAGTTATATATTTTGAATTCAGCCCTTTGCCTCTTAAATATATTATAAAGATATTTCTCCCAGTCTGTCATTTATCTTTTATTATAATGTCTCATAAATTTTTTTAAATTTAAAATATCAAATATTTTGATATGCTTTTAAATCCTGCTTACTTAGGTCTTTTCACCCAAAGCCATAAAATATTTTACTATATTTTTCTACTGTTTTCATAGTTTTGATTTATATTTACATTATTGAACATATAAGGAAGGTATTCATTTGTAGTGTGTGAGGCAAGGATACAACTTCATTTTTCTTCTAAAATGTATAAAACAATACCCTAAAATATAAAACGTATACCCTAAAATGTATAAAACATATACCCTAAAATGTATAAAACAGTACAGAGAATGAAACAGAGAGTTGAAACATCAATTTTCAACATGAAATATCTACCCTTCTTTTTTTCCTTCTTTTCTATCCATCTACCTATCGTTTTTCTGGACTCTGTTTTGTTCTATTTGGCTATTTATGTGCTAATAGCATGCTGTTTTATTTATCATAGCCTTGAAGTACATTTTGCTAGTTTTGCAGATCAAATATTTTCCTTTTTCTTTCTATAAATTATCTCACCTATTCCTTAAAAAAGTCTCTTTCATATGAACATTAGATTCAAGCTGAGATCTATAAAACAAACAAACAATTTTGATTGGTGTTGAATTAGAATTATGGATTAATTTGGATAGATTTGACATCACTATAATATTGAGTTTTCCAATTTAGAAATATAAAATGTCTCTCCAGTAATTCAAATCTTTTATACCATTGCCTTCCCTTGTGTTCTCTCAAAACCAAACTATAAGACAAGGATTTGGATAAGGATTTAGTTTATTTGAGAGGTGATCTGTGGAGGCCTGATGAGAAATAAGGAGGTGAAAGAGAGAGAGGAAAGTTGATAGGTGATGTCCTAATGAACAGTACTGCTGTGGGCAACTGACACTCAGTCCTGCTGGGGTCCCTCTTAGACACCAGGTTGAATAAAGCTTAGGATTGTCCCATGACAAGGAAGGAAATCTGGGCTGTTCATTCACCGGCTCCTATTTCTGATCATTTGAGAGTTGCTCTTGGGTGTTGAATTTGCAACAGTTGTGATTTTACTCCTGCATGGGCTGATGCTCTCTTCAGGTAAAGAGAGATCACTGGGCAAAAAGGAACTGCTGCAGATCACTTTAGTGAAGGGGATATAGGTGAGGTGCTGACAGTGTCTGCTACAGTCATACATTAAAAGTTTGTGATTTTCTTCATATAGGTTTTATAGTTTTTACATTAGGCTAATTTCTAAGTATTGTTGCTATTGTGAATAAGGTCCACTTTTTTTTTTTTTTAGATAGCTGATCTATAGAGATATTATAGTAGTCTTTAAGAATGTATGATCTGAAGCGGACTTCCTGACTTTGTGCACCAGGTCTGCCACTTCCCAGCTTGTAAACTTCTTCAAATTACCTGTCTATGCTTCAATCATAGGTTCTGTAAAATGAGAATAATAATATAATCAATATCATAGGGTTATTGCAAGAATTAAAAGAGTTAATATAGGTTAAGCAATTAGCAAGTTCTTAATAGTATTAGTTTCAATTATTATTAATATAAGTGACAGTAAAAAATAGAACACTCTTGATTTGTGAAGGTTACTCAGCTTGCTTTGTGTATTTACTATAGTTCTAATATTTTCTCTTGCTTTTTCTTAGTAGACAATCATGTCTTCTAGAAAATAGTGACAGTTCTGACTCTTTCCACTACTTTTACAAGTGTTATCTGGTTGGTAGCCCTGGGACACTGTTAAATAGTAGCAATTATGACAGACATTATTATTTTGTCTCTGTTTTTAGTGGGAATGCTGCTAATGTTTCAATATTAAGTTTGATCTTTGCTGTTGACTTCTGAGAGATTGCTTCATCAGGTTAAGGAAGCTGCCTTTTATCCCAAGATTACTGAGTATTTTTCTATCATGAGTGAATATGGAATTTTATTAAATGCTTTGAAAAATTCTGTCATTTTTAAGATCCTCTTAAAACAATCACCTTAGGTAAAGAGTTGGCCTAGTTTTCAATTAGACATCCACACTTTTTTCAGCATTTATAACCAATCTATTTTCATTTGTTGCTTTAATATTTTTATTTTGGCAGCCTTAATTATTGTCCTTGCTAATGATGATGGCCCTGGAGTTCTATCATTTAACAACAGTGAGCACTTTTTCCTAAGAGAGCCAACAGCTCTCTACGTCCAGGAGAGTGTTGCAGTGTTGTACATTATTCGGGAACCTGCACAAGGATTGTTTGGAACAGTGACAGTTCAGTTCATTGTGACAGAAGTGAATTCCTCAAATGAATCTAAAGATCTGACTCCTTCCAAAGGCTATATTGTTTTAGAAGAAGGTATTCGATTCAAGGTACAGTAAGAAGCTTTAATGAGAATGGAAGTTTTTCTTTAATATTTATAAAATAAATTTCTCTTAGATGAGCACTCAAGTCCTAGAATGAAAAAACAATTCTGCCAGCTTAGGTGATAGATAAAGACATGCTTCAATTACTATGTGACAATTGCTGTAGTTCTATTTACTCTGTATAAAGTGCAAGTGGAACATTTTACTATTAATAGGGTAGAAGAATATGTAAATAATAAAGAAAATATATGTATGGCTATTTTAAATTTTCAGCACACTTAAATTGTATATGTCACTTTATATTGTATATAAACCATATAAAAGAAAACCCAAGCGAATTTTTGTAAGCATTAAGTCCCAGCCAGTCATTTCCCTGTTGCCACATTTTTGTTGAACAAAATGTAACTGCTTACTTCAGACTGCTTGTTTGACAACAGGAATAGTTTATTGGAGAAAAAAATTGGGGATTTGAGATTAATTATAAATATGATCTATACTCACAGTTTACCTTCCAAAACCTCTTTTTCTATGTATTAACAATTTTCTGTTCCTGCTACTAAACTTTATTTTTTTAAACAGTTTAAGTTTAAAATAGCTAATTATGTTAGCTTTAGGCACTTTTCAAGCCAGCTATATCAAGTATAATAAATCTAAAATAATAGATTTAAAGCTATTTTGTCTAAAACAGTCCATCTAATAATTATTTTTTTAATGATCAGTTTATGTAACTTCAGCACATTTGCAAATGCATATTCATTTTCATGGTTTTTTTTCACATTTTGGAAATTTAAAACCTTAATTGGTTTGTGCAAGGTCACTTACATTTAAATCTTGAAATATGTATATAAAAATTCAAATTTGAAATATTTTATTAATTTTCTGTTTATTCATGTTTTTTCATCTTTTAAAATTTTTCTTAAATTTATTTTTTTGTTTGTTTTATATTTTTTACTGTGACTTTTTTCATAAAAGACTCCTTTTTCACAGTATATGTATGTACTTTTATTTTTATTAGGCAAATTGAATGTTAGAGCAAATTGGATTAAATAAATTTAACTGACATAACTGCTTTTATTCCAAAAAGTTTTTGTTTTGAAGTATAAACAGTAAAATATGCAAATCTTAAGTATATGGCTTAGTGACTTTGAAGATATATACATACACACATGTGACTACCACTTAGATTAAAATATTTAACATTAAGACTGGGCATAGTGGCACACACCTGTAATCTTCAGGAGGCTAGGTGGGCGGATCTCTTGAGGTCAGGAGTTTGAGATCAGCCTGGCCAACATAGTGAAACCCTGTCTCTACTAAAAATACAAAAATTAGCCAGGTTTAGTGGTGTGTGCCTGTAATGGTTCTCAGGAGGCTGAGGCAGGAGAATAACTTGAACTTGGGAGGCAGAGGTTGCAGTGAACAGAGTGCCACTGCATTCCAGTCTGAGTGACAGAGCGAGACTCCGTCTCATTCATAAACAAACAAACAAATAAATAAATAAATAAATAAATGTGTTTAATATTATCATCACCGAGAAGATTCCCCTTGTCTCGTCCCCTTTCCAGAGGAAACTACTTTATGATTTCTATCATTGATGACTCATTTTGCTTGAGCTTCCCATAAATAGAATCATACAATGTGTACTCTTTGGTGTCTGCCTTCTTTCACTCAATATAATTTTTAAGTCTGTGTGGTTGCATGCATCAGTAGTTGGACATTTTTTTAAATCACTGAGTAGCATTTTATAAAATAGACCACTATTGGTTTGTCTGTTCTCCCACTGATGAACATTCGGGATGTTTCTAATTTGTGCCTACTATGACTGCAACTGTTTTTTTAACAGTGAACCCTAGATTAGAATGAGATTAATCAAGTTATGTAGCCAGAGCAGGACAAAAAGTTCACAAAAATGAAGACATAGATGTAATTTTTAATCAATGTTATTTTAAAATGCACTAAATGTTTTTTGGACACTTTACTTCAGTGCAATATATCACAAAGTTGAAAATCCTAAAAGTAATAACCTGAAACAGGTGTAACCATCACATTATAGGAATCAGTGTTAAATCAAAGTGAGATAGTATTTTTCAAAACATAGTATTTTGTTGTCAGAAATGTTTAGTAGATTTCTCTGTATGTGTGTTGCAAAAAATACTGTATTCTAGTAACCTTATCTTTTGATTTTGTTTTCAGGCCTTACACATATCTGCCATATTAGACACGGAACCAGAAATGGATGAGTATTTTGTTTGCACCTTGTTTAATCCAACTGGAGGTGCTAGACTAGGGGCACGTGTTCAAACCCTGATAACAGTTTTGCAAAACCAGGCCCCTTTGGGGCTATTCAGTATCTCTGCAGTTGAAAATAGGTATAGTTTATTCATAAGGAAATTATCCCTTCTGAACCTATAAGTAGGGAATATTTTTTGCATAAGAAAATGCAGAAGGAAATTGATGTCTAATTATTTTTAAAAGGATTTTTAAAATGAACTCTAGACTAAAGATAGGTCTAGAGAGACCAATTACTCTCCTAACTGGGAGTATCAAAAACCTAAACTCACCCTTTTATTAGAATGGTGTTATTAGAATTCTTATTTTCTTGGAGTTCACACTTTCAGGTAAAGGTCTGTACTATTTTGTGTTTTTAAAAATAATGAAAAGCAAGAAATAATATGAAGTAGACTTCACTGCTCAAACCAAATGAATGACTCTTCAAACATATATTAACATGATTATGGTTTTAAAATTTCTTCTTCAAACATATATTAACATGATTGTGGTTTTAAAATTTCTTCTAGAAGCTGACAAATATTTATTTTTTATATCATAAAAATATTTTAATCTAGTTTCATTAATATGTTAATTTACTGACTCATTTTTTCCTATAAAGTGTTTTTCATACATATGTTAAGAAACATAAGAATGACAATTTTATTTGTTTTTCAGAATATATAGTGTGAAGTTACTGAAGTAACTGATTTTGAGTATTTTCTTATCTTGGATTGTATAAATTTAAAAGTGTATTAAGTATATGCTAGCAATATGATATATATTTTAAATATGTAGAATGTGTACTTTTTCTGCTTTCCACAATCCATGTATTTCTTTCAGCGCCACCTCCATAGACATCGAAGAAGCCAACAGGACCGTGTATTTAAATGTATCTCGAACTAATGGCATTGGTTTGGCTGTGAGTGTGCAGTGGGAGACAGTATCTGAAACAGCTTTTGGCATGAGTATGTTTCATTTCTTATGAGAACAAAATTCTGTAACCAAGAAATATCGCATGTATAAGATTCATATTTTTTCCCATGAATTGTATGTTATTGGTCATTTGAAAATGGAAAACAGATAATCTGATTCTTTTATTGCACCTATAAATATGTGTTGAGGCCAGGCACGGTGGCTCATGCCTGTAATCCCAGCACTTTGGGAGGCCAAAGTGGGCGGATCATGAGGTCAGGAGATTGAGACCATCCTGGGTAGCACGGTGAAACCCCATCTCTACTGAAAATACAAAAAATTAGCCGGGCGTGGTGTTGGGCACCTGTAGTCCCAGCTACTCAGGAGGCTAAGGCAGGAGAATGGCTTGAACCCCGAAGGCGGAGCTTGCAGTGAGCTGAGATCGCGCCACTGCACTCCAGCCTGGGCGACAGTGTAAGACTCCATCAAAAATAAAATAAAATTAAAATTAAATAAAATTAAAATAAATAAATAAAATAAAGTATATATTGGATGCCTGTCATATGCCAGGCATGGCACTGAACTCATGGATCTTAGAATTTAGGAGGTGACAGAAATGAATCAAATAAGTAAAAATCAATGTATACTTTAAACTTTAGTAAGTGATTCAAAGGAGAAGTTCTAAGTGTTGAAAGAATATAGGGGAATGCTTTTAAGGGGTATTGATCTTTGAACTAAGACTGAATAATAAGTAGAATTGATTATGCAAAGGACTGAGTTGGAAGAACATGGAGGTGAGAGTGAGAAGCTGTGAAGGCAGAAAACTGAGGCATAAAAAACACACATAAGCGAAGAACTTGGGTGGATAGTAGGTACAGAAATAAGGAGGAATGTTGAGCTTGGATAGCTGGACAAGACCAGATCATTCAAGACCTTAAGGAATATTTTATAGTTGCCAGTCTTTATAATAGTGTTAACGGAGAGCCTTTGAGTGGTTTAGGAATGGAGGAGAGTTACCATATGTAATGTGGTATGGTATAATCATATTTGGATTTTGAAGATGTTATTCACAGTGCCATGTAAATAATGGGTTGGCACAGAAGAGAAGTGAAGATACAGGGAGGCAAGATGATGGTGGCTTAGACTAGATGTTGAATATGAGGGTGAAGGAGAGGGAAGTACCAGAGATGATTCAGGTTTCTAGCTTGTGCAGTTGGATGGGAGAAGGAGTTCATGCTATTCACTAAGATGGAATTCCAAAAAAAAAGAATAGATGTATTTTGGTAAGGGGAGTAAAATAAATGTGGTTTAACACATTTTGAATTTGAGTTACTTTTGAGAATAAATTTCTCTAGACTCAAAAGAAGGTCTCTGCCAGAGAGATAAACCTGGGAACTTTAGCTATATATATTGTATTTGAAGTCATGGAAATTGATGTAAATCTGAAAAGAAAGGCTGAAGATGGAGAAGGGAAGAGGATGCTATAGACTGAACTATAAGAAGGTTCAAGTTGAATGGCTGAGGATATGGGATGATGGCCTAGCAAAAGAGACTTAGAGGACCTGGTAAGAAACTTAGGAAAAAACAGGATGGCAGATACCAGCAGAAGAGTGCTTTAAAATGGCGGAAGAAGTAAATGGTGTCAACCCCTGGTGAGAAGTCCAGTAAAATGAGAACCTGAAAAATAACTATTATAGTTAGCAACATAGAAGGCGTTAGACCATAGAAAGGGCTATTTGTATAGAAAGACAGAGACTGAATACCATTTTGAATAAAGGTGAAAGAAGAGAGACCTCAACTATATGCAATCATTTCAAGAAGTTTGGCTGGGAAGATAGGACCTGGAGAAGGTGGTAGTGGTGTGGTGTAGGATTCAGAAGGTTTTTTGCATGTTTAGTTTGGAGAGACCCAAGCGTGTGTAGGTTGGATGGAAAAGGTACAGAAATATTAAATATTTAGAAGAAAAAGGACATAATTAATAGTGGTATGGTTGTCTAGAAGACAAGTAGAGATGGGATCTAAAAAAAGAAAAATTATGGTTTCTAATTTAGATTTCTCCATTACTGCTTGGACTTTGCATGTATTTTTTTGGAAGTGCTCATGAGAGCATATGTTGGAGATTCTTAATCGTTAGCAGTCATTGCTTATTCTTCATTTGTAGTCATCTTGAGTTACTGTAGAGAAGGATTTGTCCATGTGTCAGGACCATTTGGGACTTTAAATGAAAAATCTGCAGTATACCCTTAAAAGGGAGCAACATAAGAATTTAAAATGCTGGATTTTTTAGAAAAGGAAATTGCTATTGGATATTACATGTAAGGCATTGACAAATTCTCTTGAATTGCTAATCTAAAAATGATCAATCATTTACAGGGAGCTCAGGTTTCAACCTTGATAGTTGTACTTGCTGCATCATGTTCACACCACTAACCAAAATTTAAAAAGAACTTAATGTTTTGAAGGGAAACAGCCATGTTAAGAGATTATACATTTTTTAAAAAATTTTACTCTTCATTAGTTAGGGGATTTTTATTTTTTTCCTTTTTTTTTTTTTTTTTTTGTAGTACAGAATTTTAAAACATATACCAGTTGTAGCAGTTTGATAAAACCTTGACAGCCATTTGAAATATGTGAGTCTGCTTGGCATTCTTAAAATAGATAAAATGTAAAGTGAAATCTTAGATGGGCGTAATTTCAAATTAATAGCATAAATTTTTTAAACCAAATATTTATCATGCTTCTATAAAGGTATTTATTATTATAAAATTTCTCAGTTATATTTTTATCAACTTTACCGAAGTTGATAAAAATCATGTTCTGCATATTTCCCTTTAAAATACATTTAGTATTTATTTAGTTAGTTTTTGAGCCAGGGTCTGTCCCTGGCTGGAGTGCAGTGGCACTATCTCGGCTCACTACCACCTCCGCCTCCCAGGTTCAAGCAGTTCTCGTGCCTCAGCCATCCGACTAGCTGGCATTACAGACACACACCACCACACCCAGTTGATTTTTGTATTTTTAGTAGAGACTGGTTTCACCATGTTGGCCAGGCTGGCCTCAAACTCCTGACCTCAAGTGATCCACCTACCTTGGCCTCCCAAAATTCTGGGATTACATGCGTGAGCCACCATGCCCAGCCACATTTAGTATTTATTTCTAAATACACCTTAGAAAAGTGTGTGTAGGTATAAAGCAGAACGTTAAAACATTTTCTTGGTTTTTAAATTAGAAGTTTTAGAAAATTCTTATTTGTAGTACAAATTAATTATTTGTTGTTGTTGTAAAGTTTTCTCGCTTGTGTCTTGTCTTTTCACACTCATACACACATGCATCATGAAAGGATCTTCATTTGTAGTCACAAATGCAGTAGTCTCATTGTTTAAACAATAAATTAGAAAGATAAGTTTTTGAAGGAATAATAAAATAGTAAATCATGATTTGTGTTTTTCAGGGGGAATGGATGTTGTGTTTTCCGTATTTCAAAGTTTTTTGGATGAATCAGCTTCTGGCTGGTGTTTCGTTACTTTGGAAAATTTAATATATGGTATAATGTTAAGAAAATCATCTGTTACTGTTTACCGATGGCAGGGGATTTTTATTCCAGTTGAGGTAAACATCAGTATTTTTTTTATAATACAAAAATAAAATGTGCAGATAAATTTTAGATGTATCATGAATTACTGTATTCTTATTCCTCATTTTCTAGGATTTAAATATAGAAAATCCTAAAACTTGTGAGGCCTTTAATATCGATTTTTCTCCCTACTTTGTGATTACTCATGAAGAAAGAAATGAAGAAAAGCCTTCTCTTAACAGTGTGTATACATTCACGTCTGGATTTAAATTATTCCTGGTAAAAAAAAGTTTCATTTTTAAATAGATTGCTTTCTTTAAAAGTAATTAAGATTTGTAAGATTGTTCAAATTTTAAGATAATATATGTTCTATGTTAATGTGAAAAAAGACTTTTTGTGAGTTGATATACATTTTAGCAAAGTATCTTAATCCGGGGATATTTTTGTCTTTTTAAAATGACAATTAGGTATGCGTAACTTGGGATTAAAATTTCTTAAGTCTTGCACTTCATATAGTAACTCATGCTATTAGTGTGTTTGGTGGCTTTCTTAGTTCAAGTCTCCTTTAAGTTTTCATTCCCACTCTGTCCTTGCAGGTACAAACAATTGTTATTCTGGAAAGTTCTCAAGTAAGATATTTTACTTCAGACAGCCAAGATTATTTAATCATTGCAAGTCAAAGAGATGATTCTGAATTAACTCAGGTTTGATTCTTTTAAAATGAAGTGGTGTTTTGTTTTGTTTTGTTTTGTTTTGCTTTTCTTTTTAACATTATAATTGAAATTTACCAAAGGTATGGTCTGCCAGTTTAGTGTAAAAGAAAAACCATAATTTGATTGTAGTAAAGTAGAATGTAAAGACTGGTTAGTTAAAAGTTAATTTTTAAACACCAGAGTCATAAAATATTATTGTCTTCAAGAGCCAAGGATAATGTAATAATAAATACGAACATTTAATTAGAATTTAACTGAATTGCAAAACATTGTGGAGAAAAATCACACAGCCAGAGAGTATCACTAAAAATTCATGATTAGCATTGCCACACAGGTGTTCAGTATCACCTCAGAAATCCCACATTTCTTTAGTAAACTAGATCTTGTAATCCTAGTAATGCTTATTTGATAACTTTTGTGACTCCTTAAACTTCCATACATGCTTCACATTTCCATTTTCAGCTAATTCCCTTGTTGAAATGAAAGCTACCAAAAGGGATATTACTCATTTTCCCAACACCAAATTCAAAAACCCACTTGAAACCCAATCTTATTCCTCATTCCTGCTACGGCAGAGAAAGTGTCCCTTCTAAAAAGCCAGGCCTCTCACATAGGTGCCCATCTTGCCCTCATAAGGTTAGCTATTCCCTCCATCTCTGGCATCTATCTCTCTCTATTTGGTTACTACAGTCAGCGTAAATGTTCTAGCTTCACCCAGCTTAAAAAGCTTAAATTCCTCCCCGATCTCATTCCCTTCTAAGTTTTGTTTCATTTCCTTCCTCCCCTCTATAGTAAGACATCCTGAAAGAATTATCTGTTTGTTTTGTCTTTACTTCCCCATGCTCACCGATGACAACTGGGTTGCCAGTTCCAGTGGGTGTTTTTCTGTGTAATCATTATACATTCCACCAGCATGTGACAGTCACCTCATCCTCAAATATAAATCTTATCTTGCTTTCTAAGACACTACACAGATTTTCCTTTTCCCTTTCTCTCTCTTTCTCTGTGTATATGTGTGTGTGTGTGTGTGTGTGTGTGTGTGTGTGATCCTTCTCATTCCCCATTCCCAGTTCCTCTTCCCTTTTGTAAACTTAGATGTCTTGGAGTTTTCCAGAAAGATTCACTTATAGTTCAAATTTCTTTTTTCTTTCTCTTCACTCACTTGGATACTGTTATCAATCATATGGTTTAAATATCAGCAATAGGCTAGTGTCTTTTAAATTATATCTATAGCCTTTCCCCTGTATTTCAGGCCTACATACCTAACTACCTATTGATATGTTCACTTAAATGTATTTTTGGTACATAATATTTAACATATCCCAAACTGACCTTTGATTTTCACTATGAAACTCGTTACTTCAGTGCTAGCTTCCATCTCAGGAAGTAGCAACCCCACAAACTCAATTGCTTAGGACAGAATCCTGGGATATTTCTTCCTTGATTACTCCTTTTTTGTTTTTTTTTTTTTCTTTTGTGGACAGGGAGGACGGGGTCTGGCTCTGTGGCCCAGGCTCCAGTGCAGTGACGTGACAGGTCACTACAGTCTTGACCTCCTGGGCTCTGGTGATCCTCCTACCTTAGCCTCCCGGGTGACTGGGTCAACAGGTGTGTGTCACCACACCTGACTGCTTTTTTGTATTTTGTAGAGATGGGGTTTCACCATGTTTCTCAGGTTGGTCTTGAACTTACTCCTTCTTATTCTTTCACATCGAGTTTATCATTAAGTATTTTTGATTATATGTGTCAATAAGTGAAGACATTTCGTCTGTACTCCTCCCTACTTCAGGTCCCCATTATTTCTCTTCCACACCATTATAGTCCCTCCTAGCTGTTCTCTGAACTTCCTTGACCTCCTCGGATCCATTCTCCATTGAGTAACTGGAGGCATTTTTTGAAAATATTAATTGACTAATGCTATTTCTGATTTTAAAGCTACTCAATGATTTGCAATTATACTTAGAATAAATTTGAAATTATTTAATATGGGCTTAACAGCATAGCTACATTTCCAGATTTGCCTTGGAAAGTACTGGATTATGCCTGTTGTTCTGGTATTGTTATTGCCCCTTTCACTCTTTAAAGGATCCCTGTTTAGATGATAAATTTTATGGCCACCCTAATGGGAGGTTCTCCATGATCTTACCTCTCCAGCCTTAACTCTCATAAATCTCCCAGCACTATCAAATTCCTTCCTGTCTTTATTCAGATAATGACAAATTTTTTCTGTCTTAAGAACTTTGTCATATCGTTCCTTCTAACTTGATTTCCCTAATACCTTCATAATTCTCTATCAGACCATCCTAATTGTCATCTTCAGTACTTGACCCATTTTATACTCAGACATTTATTTAACTATTGATATGTTTCTTGTTTACCTTTTCCTAATAGTTAATAAGATCCATAAAGGGAAAGGCTGCTGTATCCATAGTTGCCAGCATAATGTCTGTGGCTTAAAAGTTCCTAATTGTTGGCTGAATAAGTATAATTTTCTGTGACATTGACTACCTTGCTTTCAGGTAGGGTCTGAATTTTAATTTTGCATTTATGAACACTTACCCTGAAACCTTGTGTGCATTGACTGCCACTATGGGGACAAAAAGGATTTAGGTGTTTCTCTGTATTCTATTGCTCGAGCAATTGTTAATAATATTGCAGCATTAGAATGTTTCTTATTCATTTCTAAATTTTTCATATTTAGTTTATTTCCTGGTTTTAGCTTTCCCTTCCCCTGCTGTTACCAACCCTTACCCAGATGCACATTTGATACTGATTTCTTTTCAAATAACTTCTCTTTCATTCACTGTGTGTGTGTGTGTGTGTGTGTCTCGTATGTACTCATGTGTATAGACATAGATGTGCACACTCACACAGATTAGATAAGGGAGAGAGCAGCGAGGGAGCATCAGTTTTAGCGCTTTCTTTTTTTATGAAGGTATCTTTTTAACCAAATAAAAGGATCCAAGAGAGTAAACATACGATATTGATTACATTCTTACAAGTGCTAAATTCCTAGTCATAAAGGGTTTTGTATTTCAACATTTCCTTCAGGTCTTCAGGTGGAATGGAGGAAGCTTCGTGTTGCATCAAAAACTCCCTGTCCGAGGTGTGCTGACCATGGTCTTGTTCAACAAGGAAGACTCTGTGTTCTTAGCCATTTCCCAGGCTAATGCCAGGCTAAACTCCCTTTTATTCAGATGGTCTGGCATTGGGTTTATTAACTTTCAAGAGGTGCCTGTCAGTGGGACAACACAAGTTGAGGCTTTGTCTTCAGCCAATGATATTTATTTAATATTTGCCAAAAATGTTTTTCTAGGTGAGAAGATAAAGTGTTTGTAATGTATATATAGTTGTTATTGAACTCATCTAGCATTCATATGGTATATTTTATATGAAAATGCTCTTGTAATAATTTTTTACTAATCCATATAATATTTCTTGATAGATGATAAGTATTAATTGTTAGCTATAAATGGATTTTTGAGAAATATTTAAGCAGTATGCCCCTAATCTTGTGGTGTTCTGACTACCACCTTAAAGTTACATTAAAACAAATCGGAAGTAGATAGGTAAAGTTGAAAGATACATGAATATTTTATATCCAGGATGCAAACAAGTAACTTTTTATATGTATTTACTTGAGGTGCCATGAATAATTCATAGTATTAATAAATAATGTTCAGAACTTTTTATAATACTCTTTCAGAATATTCTTGGAAGGAAAATTTGCTTTTTGCTGCTGAGTAGAACTTTCATAGGTAAAATTGCAGCATTCCTAAAAAATAAAAAAAATTGTCCTTGTTCTTTCTTTAACATTATATCATGGTTAATGACTAATAATGTATTTGTGTCATGCAGTAAATGCAAAAAAGACTTTTGACGTACTTCCTATTAACTTGTGTTTTTATTAGATTAAATGGATTCTGAGGAAATTTGTTTCTTGATATTTTTATTGTAGTTTTATTATGTAATTTTGTCATTTTTTTCTGTAACTTTTGTGTTAAGATTTGACTTTTATTTCATTATTGTAGGAGATCAGAATTCAATTGATATTTTCGTCTGGGAGATGGGGCAGTCTTCCTTCAGGTATTTTCAGTCCCTAGATTTTGCTGCTGTTAACAGAATCCACTCCTTCACACCAGCCTCAGGAATAGGTAAGGACTTTTCAACTGCTTACCAATTCTAAAGGTAGTATGGAAAGCCAGAATGATTTTAATCTCATTGATTTAGATTTACTGTCACATTGCCAGACACTGGGTATTTTTTTTTTTTTTTTTTTTTTGAGACAGAGTCTCGCTCTGTCACCCAGGCTGGAGTGCAGCGGGGCAGTCTCTGCTCACTGCAAGCTCCACCTCCCAGGTTCACTCCATTCTCCTGCCTCAGCCTCCTGAGTAGCTGGGACTACAGGTGCCCGCCACCATGCCTGGCTACTTTTTTTGTATTTTCAGTAGAGACGAGGTTTCACCCCGTTAGCCAAGATGGTCTCGATCTCCTGACCTCGTGATCTGCCCACCTTGGCCTTCCACAGCGCTGAGATTACAGGTGTGAGCAACCGTGCCCGGCTGACACTGGGTATTTTAATGGGAATGTAACATCAAGATCTTTACAAAACTCCTTCCAGAAATCCTAGAATTTTTTGAAATTCTTTTGAATTTCAGTTCTCCTTTTGCAGATTAATACTTTCAAAATGGACATTGGCTTGAGAATAATCAGAATAACTGAAATATGGAGGAAAATATTAGTGAAGAATAAAAATAGTATATTTATTTTGTCTAGAGAAACATGAAGAGGAACATTGACATTAAATATATATTTTTAAAATATGAAAGTATGTATCTGGCAATAACAAGTATTTGCATTTAAGAATTTTTTTTTAAGTTGGAGAATGACTATGAGAATTCTTCCATTTTCATTAACTCTCCCAACCTCCTTCACAGTCTGAAATCCTTTCTTGGTCTTCTGCACTTTAATCCACACATCAGAAACATAAGCAATAGTTTTAATCACTGTGGTTTCAGAAACAAAGTCAATTGGAGAGAACCCAAGGTATTATTGCTGTCTGCAGGTTGTAGGGTTATTTTAGGGTTGGCAAGGAATCCCTTGGGCGGGCCAGTGATAATAAGGAGATGAAGCTGAGGCCAGCTGGCATGGTGAGCTTATCAAGCTGGCTCATGGGGTGGGTGTTCATAGCGTAGGAAGCAGACACAGACAGTGGGTCATCATGTCTCCTGTCAAGGTCTTTAGAGAATTTGTGAGCCAAGCCTGAGTGACTCCACAGGTGACTCTGGATGAATCACAGTCCTGCTTTTAAATTGAGATATGGCAATTCTGTATAAATTAAATGGCACACAGTTATTAATTTGATATTATATGTAAGTCAATGTTACAATGCTATGAAGAATTCCTCTACTTAAAAGCCTTAATGTATGGTTGGAGAAGCAGGAAAAAATATTAAGATACTAATTCAAGGTATACGACTGTATTAGTCCATTCTCACACTGCTTTAAAAAAACTATCTGAAACTGGGTAATTTATGAAGAAAAAATGTTTAATTGACTCACAGTTCCACAGACTGTACAGAAAGCATGCTTTGGGAGGCCTCAGGAAGCTTACAATCATGACGGAAGGGTAAAGGGGAAGCAAGCACCTTCTTTACATGGTGGAGGGAAAGAGAGTGAAGGGGGAGTGCTGCACACTTTTAAACAACTAGATCTTGGGAGAACTCCCCTGCTATCACAAGAACAGCAAGGGGGAAATCCGCCTCTATGATCCAATCACCTGCCATCAGGTCCCTCCCCCAACACTGGGAATTATAATTTGACATGAGATTTAGGTTGGGACACAGAGCCAAACCATTTCAACAACCAATGCCATTTGCTCTGTGAGGGGTAGAATTGGAGTGATTAAGAGAGATAAGAGAGAGCTTGAGCTATGTTTGGGTGGATTGGCAGGACACACTTTGGGCAGACGGGAAGGTGTGAGCAAAGGATAAAGGCAGAAGTGTTTGTAGCATTGAGGGAACCATTGGTAGGTGAAAGTGCCAGGGATAGAGGATTTGACCAGAATGTTGTGGTGCTGAGGTTGGAGGTACAACACTGGAATCTAGAGAAGATGGCCTGGAATGGCAGGCACATGGTGTGCCTATGCCTCAAATTATCCAGCAGTTTTCACACATTTTGGTCTTAGAATCTATTCATATTTATTGTATAAGAGATTAAAACTGAGAAATTTTAAAGTCATTTATTTTAAAGTGACAACAATATACTCATGTGTAAATGTAACATGTTATTTTTAAAAGACATATTTTCTAAAACGAACACTTTTATGAGAATGGCATTGGTTTTATTTTAATTTTTGAAAATCTTTAATGGCTGGTTTAATACATGGTATGTATATTCTACTTTTTATTTACGTATTTAATTAATTTTTTAGAGAGACAGCATTTTGCTCATTTGCCAGGCTGTAATGTAGTGGTGCAGTCATAGCTTACTGCAACCTTGAACGCATGAGTTCAAGCCATATTCCTGCCTCAGCCTCCTGAATAGCTAGGACTACAGGCATGCTCCATCATGCCCACATAATTAAAAATTTTTTTTTTGTAAAAATGGAGTTTCTTTATGTTGCCCAGGCTGGTCTTGAGCTCCTGACTTCGAGAAATCCTCCTTCCTCAAAGTGCTGGGATTACAGGCGTGAGACACTGTGCTCAACTGATTCTCTTAATTAACTTTTTTTCCAGCTTTATTAAGGCTTGATTGACAAATGAACATTACATATATTTAAGATATACAATGTGATATTTTGATATACATATAGTGATATGTATTTCCTCAATTGAGCTAATTAACCCATCCATTACTTCACATATTTACCTTTTTTTTTTTTTTAAAGGAAAACACTTAAGATCTAGTCTCTTAGCAAATTTCAAGTACATGGTACATTATTGTTAACTGTAGTTATTATGCTGTAGATTAGGTCCACAGAAATTATCCATCTTATAACTGAAAGTTGGTACTCTTTAATCAAAATCTCCTACTTCTCCCAACCCCTGGCCCCTGGCAAGCACAATTCTACAATTTGCTTTTGTGAGCTTGACTTTTTCAGTTTCCACATATAAGTGAGATCAGGCAGTACTTGTCTGAGTCTGGGTTCTCATGTCTGCATCTGAATTCAGTCTACTGCAATATTATCAGTCATTTAGCCTCTGCTAAGTCCTATACATTCATGAAAGAATGAGAGTGAAGTAGAAAAACAGCATTATTATGAAAACAGCATTATGCTCATATTATTATGAAAATAGTTTTGACCTCTGAAATCCTCTAAAAGGGTTTCAATGTCTCTTAGATCCCTGGATCACACTCAACAGTAGTGAGATAGAGAAATCCTTGAAGGCTTTTCAATGGCAAATGATGATCAAAGGCATGTTTTACAACTCCTCACAGCTTTGGTGTATAGAATATGCTGGACAAAGTAACTTGCAACTGCCTGGGCAAGAGTTGAAGAGGGCCCTTAGCTGGGGTGAGAAATTAGGAATTAAGATTCTTGTGGGAAAGATAAATTAGAAATGAAAATCCTTGTGGGAAAGAGAAGTTAGAAATGAAGATTCAACAGCACTGGATGTCTGTTCAAATGTGGGGAGCAAAAGTTATTATACCTTGGCAATTGGGAGGATAATGGTGTTAAATTAGGAAAAGACACAGAAGATGTCTGTAGTGGGAAATGTGATAAACTTGTTTATAGGTGTCTAGTTTGAGATAATAGAGAAGCATGTGTAGATGATTAGTAGAGATGTGGAACTAGAATCAGGAAGAAATTGGGAGTTAAAGGTTTGGATTTTGGAGACATCCATGCGTGGGGATAGTTGAACGCACAAGTGTTAAAATGTACAAAGTAAATTATATTGATTGCGAAGACTGGAGGATTTAGCACAAATACAGGAGTCAGTATTTGGAATTTTTCCCTTAGGTGCCCGACTACTGCTTTCTTTATCAGACATTTAACATATAGGCAGTGTTAACCTTCAGTCACCTCAACTACTGACCAGGAATCATAGGTTATTTATGTCTAACTTTTAATTTAGTATTATTTTTAATTTACAAGTTGTAATTGTATTACATGTATTAAGTGTAGTGTGTTTTGATAAATGTATACAATGTGGACTATTAAATCAAGCTAATTAACATATCCATCACTTACTTAACGTTTTTGTGATGATGCAGTTGAAATGTACTGTTAGTTATTTTGAAATATACTATCCATTATTATTGATTATAGTCACCCTGGTGTGCAGATCTCAAAAATTCCTCCTGTCTAGCCAAAACTTTGTACCTTTTTACCACCAACTTCCCATTCTTTTGCTCTTCCCTACCCTGGTGACTATTGTTGTACTCTTTGCTATGAATTCAACTTTTAAAAGATTACACAACTAGTGAGATCATGCGGTATTTGTCTTTCTGTGCCTAGCTTATTTACTTGGCATAACATCTTCCAGATTCAGCCATGTTGTCCCAAATGACAGAATTTTGTTCTTTTAAAGTTGAATAGTATTCCATCATGTATATATACCACATTTTCTTTATCCATTCATCTGTTCATAGATATATAGGTTGAGTTCACATTTTGACTATTGTGAATAGTGCTGTAATGAACATGGGAGTGCAGATATCCCTTTGACATATTGATTTCAACTCCTTTTGACATATTCCCAGACAGAAGCAGGTATTGCTAGATCATTCTGTTTCATTGTTGGGGGAACCTCCATACCATTTTCCATGACATCTTACTAGTTTGCATTTCTACCAACAGTGCATGTGCAAGGATTTCCTTTACTCCTCTTCTTCGACACTTATTTTTTATAAGATTTCTTCTAATAAGTGTGAGGTGATAGCTTATTTTGATTTTAATTTTTATTTTCCTAATGATTAGTGATCAGCATTTTTTTCATGAACCTCTTGGCCATATGTAAGAAATCTTTTGAGAAATGTCTTTTCAGACACTAGCCAATTTTATTTTTATTTTTATTTTTATATTTTTTGAGACAGAGTTGGTCTGTCGCCCAGGCTGGAGTGCAGTGGTGCAGTCTCGGCTGACTGCAACCTCTGCCTCCCAGATTCAAGTGATTCTCCTGCCTCAGCCTCCCGAGTAGCTGGGATTACAG